CGGAAACAAGCTCCACGAAGAGCTTTGACCTTCATTTGGCGTTACCCTCTTCTCACCGGAAGTTTAGATTGTTTATGTTGGTTTTCCGCTAGTTAAGGAGACGAGGAAGCCTTGTTCCACCTAGAATTATTTCGCATAGAAGAAGGATCTTGAATTGGTTACAGATCCGTGTGTTCAGGGGACAAAATCGACGATTTAAGGGTCTTGGGCTAACTCTAAACGCCATTGTCTGGGGATTGCAGAAAAAAAGGGAATCGCGACAGTAATTGGTGAAGTTAGGGTTAGGGTTTCATAGATTTAGGACCAATTTCGAATTTCTCTATTTTGGTTTCTTCTTTGATTTTTGGTGCTCTGTTTTTGGCTCAGTAAGTCTTCATTCTCCTTAGTTATTCTTCTTTGAAGCTAGTATGTTTGTTTTAGTTTAAGTTTCTACTCCTTGGTTGGATGTCTTCCCTTTTGGTTTTGTTGGACTGTTTTTCTCCTTGTTATGTGTCCCTATTTAGTTTCCAATTGGAAGGCCATGTTGGGCTTTTCCAATCTTGAAGAGGTTAGGGGAAGTAATTTTGGGTTAGACTTTAGGTTTTGGGTGTTTGGAGGAATATATGTCTTGCCCCTTGCCTTTGTTTCATGTCTTGGACTTGGAAAAGTGGGTCTCCTTGTTGTAGTCAGTTTTGGCTTACACTTCCTTGGTTTGGGTTTTCCTTAAATACCAAGTTGGGTGAAAGTCATTTGTAAATGGTTCTTTATCTGTTAGGTTTGCGAGTGTTTAACCGGAAGGTTTGGTGTTTGGTTTCGTCGTTAGTTGGCTCTAATTTTTATCATTGGACTTCTTTAAGTTTTTCAGGTCTGTGATGGGTTTTGTACTCATTCCATTCAAATTTTCAAGTATGTGCGCTGCTCTCATATTATTTGGGGTTCATAAGTATGCTACAAATCATGTATTTCTTTATTTTAAAAGAGAGAAATCAAGTTACTGGTTACCGTGGTATTACCTTCCTTTCGTTTCTTGCTTTGGTTTTGTCTTTCAAGCTCCACAAGTTACAAAGAGTTTCTAGTCAATTACACAAGCTTCTCCCTTTGTGGAAAAAGGACACCGGGAATAACATGTAATGTAGGCTTCTACTCGCTAGAATCAAGGCGGTACACAGTGGTTCCAACACTCAGGGGATAACTATGAAAGCAGTTTCTTTTAAGTTGCCTTGTTTTCTAGCGTTCATAAGAACAAGTGTTGCTCGTGGATTTGTTGTAAAGGTCTTAATAGGCCTAGTTCTTATTGTTTTAGCGTGAACTATTTCAATATATGCAAATTAATCCTTTGTCAAAAAAAAACAAAAAAAAACTGTGAATTGTAAAAAAAAGTTACACTTTATTTTAGAATAAAAAGAAAAATTATCAAATGATGTTTGAGAGTTTAATTTTATGTGGCATGTAAGTTATAAAAATAAAATAAAAAAAATAAAAACCTTATGAATAGTGATTTAGGATTTAAATTATTTTATAAAATAGGAAAAATTGCAAATAATAATACAACCTTTGGCCGGTTCTTTTTTAATAATACAATCTTTGGATTGTACCTTAATATTACAAACTTTGGGGGGTGTCCATTTCTAAAGGTACAAAAACTTGTATTTTGTTAAACAGGTTACTCATGGCACGTGTTGGCATGTAATTGGTTTAAATATTTTTTGATATTTTTTTGATAAAATTGTTTAACCTTTAATTAAATTCTAATTTCTTTCAAAAAAAAATTAAATTCTAATTAAGTTTTTAATTATCTTATTTTTAACAAATAAAATATCTTTTACAAAATAACCACCGACAGCCCCCGCCGCACCCTATCGGCAGCCTGCCGGCGATCAGCCTCCCCCGTTGCCGGTCGACCCCAAAAACCCACCCATTCCCGCATCATAAACCAAATCCCCCACCATAAACCCGTTTACCTAGAGCCCGCTGTCTTGGGTTTTAAGTTTTTTTTGGGTTAAATGGAGATTTGGTGGTTTTAGGTTGGGAATATAGTTTATGGGGCCGAAAAATAGGAGAGGGGTGGTTTTGGGGCTACGGTGGTCGGGCAGGGGTGGATTCGTGGTTGCGGTGGTTCGGAAGGTGAAGGTTGGTTGCGATTTCGTTTGGATGGCCGGGGAGAGGCGAGATGGAGGCTATGGTGGTCGGGGAGAGGGGAGATGGAGGCTACGATGGTTGGAGAGGGGAGTTGTGTAAGGGGAGTCGGAGAGGTGAGCTACGTAAGGGGAGGGGGAGAGGGAATGGTGGCAGATGGAGGCAGGGGTGGTGGGGTTTTTTCTTTTTCTGTCTTTATTTTGTTAAATTTTTATGTTAATCATAATAATAAAAGTAATTTTTATTATTTTATGTAATTTTAAAAAAATCAAATTAAGTTGACCAAACCAATAAACAATGACACGTGTCATGGATAACCTATTCAACAGGTTACCAACCGATTTTTGCCTGTTAAAAATGAAAACCTCCCAAAGGTTATAATATTAAGGAATAACCCAAAAGTTGTATTATTAAAAAAGAATCGGCCAAAGATTGTAATATTATTTGTAATTTTAACTAAAAAATAACCTTAAAAATTTAATCCAAATATTTGACGAATGAGATGATATATACAATGAAAAAAAATTATATTCATTGGAAAAAATTGTGTGATTAAGCATGGATGGGATGCAAAAGTAAAATTTTGTATATTAAAAATAGGGTTATTTGTGAATAATTACCCCTTTTTTTATTTGTTTAGAACTACCCACAAGTTTTGAAACGTTTGAGTAGCACTGTCCAGTAACATTTTCCATTCAATTAAAACGAAACTAGGGCCCACTTTTTCACTTTTCCATCTAATTAACTCCGCCAACTACCTTCTACCCCCCTCTCTCCTTCTTAATTTATTTTCCCATCTAGTTAGGATCCAACAGCCTTGAAAGATATAGAGGGAAAGTTGATGTTCTTTCTTCCCTTCATTCCAATCAAAATGGCGGATTTGCATTGTAAATTTTCCTAATTATAATGGCTACATCTACGAATCTGGCTAGTAAAGTTTATCTTTTTAAATTGAGAATTTGAAGGGCTTATAAGTGTCATGATTTTATAATGTTCGAGCTGGTTGAATTTCCAAGTACTGTGTTGTGCTTTACTTATAAGATGTGAGATTGATTGTTTCTTTATGAACAATCTTCCTGTTTTGACTTTAGATTAACCACACCTCTTTGCATAAGAAATTCTTGTTTAACACTTTGTTTGAATAGGAAGAAATGGAAGGAAAAGAAGAGAAGAGAAATGGAGGGGGACAAAATCTCTTATTTGGGTAAAAGATTGGGGGAAGGAAGGGGAAGGAGAGGGAAGGATCCATTTTCCCTCTCTCTTTAATAACCATAATCTCTCCAAAATTGGAGAGATTTGGAGGGAAAATGGAGCTCACCTCCCCCTCCCTTTCTTTTCCCTTCCCTTCCTCCATTTTCCCTCCCCTTATTTTCCTTCCTTCTTTGCTATCCAAACAAAGCGTAAATACTCCGTAACAAATAGCTAGACATACATACTGAATACTCTTAAACTGCCATTAAAATTCTCACAGGAACAATCAAAGGTGTTTGCTGATGATATGATAAAAGAAGCAAAACCTTTTGTATGCACCCGCTTTACAATAATTTTATTATACATCAAACATTTTACGAAAAGTGACCCTTTTTTCTTATAAAAGTGACCTTTTTTTTTGTATAAAAATAACCTATATTTTCACAAAAGTTACCTTTTTTTCACAAAAGTGACCCTTTTTTATAAAAAAAATTTTTTTATAAAAGTGACCTATATTTTCACAAAAGTTACCCTTTTTTACACAAAAGTGACATTTTTTTCACAAAAGTGACTTTTTTTTTCACAAAAACAGAGTATTAAAATAAAAAAGTTACCCTTTTTTTCTACATTTAGCAAGTATTTTCCTCCATTTTCTCTCTCCTTCAATGGCGAAATCAATCCCAACACCGAAGATCCGCCAAACTCCTCCGACCCGAATTCCTCCCTTGCGTCCTTTGTCGTTCTTTCAAAAAAAAAAATGCAATTGTCGTAAACTTCTTTCAAAGCTCAACTAGTCAACTTTCACTATTTAATTTTAACCAAAACTTTCATATTGTTTCGAAAAGGAAAAAAAAAAAACAATAGTTTTTTTAAAACAAAACTTCAAATAGAAAGATGCATGAGCATCAGAGCACGCCTCGAAATTAGTTAGAAAAAATTAAAATAGCAAGATCAGTACGTAGTACTATAAATCAATGAAGAATACAGAGGAAGAAGAAACACAAATTAAAGTGTGCTACTGTGCTTTGTTCCTGTAAGGAAAAGGGGAGGAAGGAGAGAGAAAAAGAATAGCAGAGGAGAGAGAAAAAAAATATTCTTTAAAGAAGAGAGAGAAGGAAGATTGTAAAATGTAAATGAAAAACTGAAAAAAGAGTTGCTCACACGTGTAAGCAGCAAGTCCCACTTGCTTTAGTTGGGCTGATTTACAATAAAATTATTATACATCCGGTTTTTTTAAACTTTTGTGTAAAAGAAGTCATACTAGAAGTTTGGTGGAAAAAAACAATTTCGTATACTTTTATATTTAGTAATTTTTTTTTTATAAAAGTCAAAAATTCCCACATACTATAACACACGTTACTTCACGTGTTAAACCAACTTTGCATTCTTACTTGTAAATACGTTAAATTAATATGATTTCAAACAAAATCAAATGAACTAAACAGAGCCTAGATTATACATACATAGCAAGCATTTAGGGTAGTAGAGACGTAGAGTTAATTGAATGAGAGATCAATAGACAAGGAAGCAATTGAATATGAAATTTGTCACAGTCGATTTCATGCATCTAATCTTACATTCTTGCTCATCACAATATAGCCGAAAATACTTCAAAGTCTGAATTACTGTTGTTTGGATGATAATAATGGAATCATAAGATCTGACAATTGGCTACTTGACAAGGAAACCAAAAGTGAAAGAATTGCGCAACAGATCTTATATATCTTCAAAATGTTTTACAATGAACTATTTCAAGTTAAAGTGTAACCCTCTAAAAGGGTGCCATGATTCAAATTTAAAGAACCAGCACCAGTAAACCACCAAGCCATGAGTTAACAAAAATTGACTCAGAAACCAAAGAAGCCTGGACAATGTAGTTCGAAAGCCCTCACTGAATCTAACAAGAGTGAAGCGAAATTTTCCAACAAAGCAGCAGCAGATGGTCTCCATTTTGACAATTTGCTGAAGGTTGTGTACTGCTAAGCCTGCTCCAATTCGTTGCATACCTTGCTGTATCCAATTCCCCAATCATGCACTCAACACCCCAGAAACCCATGGAACAACCAGAGGTGCTCCTGGGTGAGAACTTCTATATGTTTCAGAATACTTGTCTTTGAAATTCAATTTGGGTTTTTCTGACTGCAAAACCAAGAAGCATGAAAATAAGTTACTACAAACAGCAGAGTGCTTAAATATGCTAGGAAAAACAATGAACAGCCTAAAATATGCTATTTATACGCCTAAAATTTATTCTCCAATAAACTTATAAAGAGTATTAGATTTAACAATCCCTCACAAGTTCATAAATCATAACAATAAATGTCATTGTGAAAAGTATTAGAAAAGTACTCCCTCCCCCAATAAACTTCTTACTATCACTTCGGTCTGTCCCAAAATAATCTTTCTGTTACCAAAGAATTAACTCTGCCATGCGTTAAGGCCCGACTTATATTAATATAGGGAAGGAGCAAATGAACAAAAAATACAAGTAGGTAATTATGAGTTAAGAGCAAATGAAAAAGAGAATAAAACAACACTACTGAAAATTTAAGGACCCCATTCATTTAAGACCTTTACAAAAATAAATAAATAAATAAATAAAATGATAATATCAAACCAAATTCTGTACATCAAAGCACCAAAGGATATGTCAACTTAGAAAATTTGCCAGTTGAGAGTTCGAGTGCATCTTGTTTTCAGCTTTAAGAATAGCAATAAAATCACAATGCAAAGGCACTTACAAATTTCAGCCAGCACTCCTGATGCTTATGTTCATAGATGTCTGGAGAATAACAACCTGCTTCAGATGGGCAATAAACCCATACATTGCATTTCATTTCACCAGGCTTCGCTCGACTTGCCTGATCGAAGCAAGCCTGGCAACAGTCAGCAGCACTCTCTTTGTGATGGGTTAGACCCCATTTAACAGCAACCCCATCATAATCTGTATGAAGTTCAGCGTGACACTCGGGAGGAACAGGCCTTCCAGCTAAAAGGTCTTCTTCTGTATATGTAATTGTATGTCTTAGGTATTCACTCATTAAACCAACAGAATAATAATAAAATTCTGCCTATACGGAGTAATACAATTTCTAAACCAAAATATATTATATTGATATGACAATAATTTAAAAGGCAACAAATACACAAAAGACAAAAGGCATAGTTAGAATTAGTTCGATTGAGTGTCAGATTGATCATTTACCGAGCTCATCTATTCCAGGAGGCTTATCGTCATGCTCCTTGTGAATGACTGCAGGTGGTATCCACAGCCCAATTACTTCCATAAATGAAGACCAACTTGATTCCATGGCCTCAACTAGTAATGCTACATTGAACACAATTAAACAAGAAGTTAACGAGGCAATCAGTATGATATTGCAAATATGTAAAATCGACAAACTATGAACAATTTAACAAAAAGAAAACCAAAAGGCATATTCAGAGGAAAGAAAGTCTCACCAGCATCATCGGATGAAATCGTCAAGGTAACATTCTGTTCACCAAGGATCAATAGTCTTGCTTCATGCAATTTAGCGTCCCGCCAGTTTTCAACTGCTTCTGTAGTCATAAAGTGAGCAAAAGGTATATTAGAGGAAGCAACTGCATCATAAACACAAATTTGAACCCTTAATAATCACAACAGACCACAACATTAACAGGGGTAAGTGTACTCTCAATCAGTGAAGATCAAAAAGACTAAAACACATAAAGCAAGGGCAAGCCAGAGGAAATTGATCGCATATCATATTCTCTTAAATTTCATAGTTGATGATTATAAGCTTCACAGACAACAATTCCCAACTGTGCTGACCTCAAATATCAAAGTTTATGATCTGACAATGAAGCAAAATTTAAGAATCCACCAAGAAGCAAGAACATTCATATACAAGACTCTAACCTGAGGATAAAGCAAGCTTTAGGATCTTCTCTCACATTTATATTCCTCGCAAAGTCATAAAAGTGTTCCTTTAAAATAAATAATATTGCGAAAGCTTATGGGGTTATCTTTAAGAAAACACTTTAAGATATCATGGGTGCTGATAATCATATACCTTGAAAAAACACATTGTCTGCTTTTGTTTCACATGCCACTGGGCTGAATACTAATATTTCCACCATTCCTGAAAGTTTGACTCACTACTCTTGTGGACAAAGCAAAACAACTTTGACAGTTATAATTTATATGAAAGAAAAATATTAGAATGTGGAATCTTGTTAGATTCATCTCATCATAAAACTAAAAATTTTGAACTTTATTTATTTATACTTAGTGTAATTTTTAATTATACATAGTTGAAACAGCTAACGGCCAAAGGTACACATAGGAGACCCATGTAAAAGCTACATTGTATAGGCAGACTTCTAATACTGCACAAAATTCAAAAGACTAGTGAAATAAACACTAGGGTTCCATAGCTAGGGTATAGTTTATCCGATTTCAGACATCTATCAATTCAATATATTCCAACCAAGAAGAGAAAAAAGAACAGCATCAAGATTGAAAGTTTTCTCAGAGAAGACTATATCAGGCCTGCCAGTATGTTATAATGGCAGCCATGGGAAGATCAGAGCTTCCATCAAATAACAGAAATGCCAGCTAGAGAACCTAGAAGCTCTATGTTGCTCTATTAAAGAAACAGCTTACTGAATTGGATCTCACTTTTGGAGAAAGTTTTAGAAAGAAAGAATGTCAGCATCTACATTAACCCAGTACCTCCAAAGAAACTCCCGTTCAGACATATTATAGTATGGGATGTATGCGACCTACCTTCATGACAACAAAGAAGCTATATCATTGGGAGCTGCGACTTTAAAACCAAAACCAAATTGAGCATTTGCTATTTTACAATCAATAAAAAGTGCATTATATAATGAGCCACTTTGACACTAGTCCAAATCAAAGTAAAAAAACACTAGACATACTGGCTCCATTGAAAATGGTCAGAGGAGAATCATTACTGTGACTCACTTTAATGAAGGTAATTCTTCTTCCTCTTTAACTGGTGACCTTAGATCTGTGAGTGTCATTTAGGGGAAATTCTCGTGTCAATGCATGGACCGTGATTGGAAAATTCTAATGATAAAGTAAAGTTGATACTGATACTGTTATTGCTACTGATTGGAAAATTTAATGATAAACTCTGGTGTCAAAGCTCATATTGCTACTGATGTTATGTGAAATAAAATATTTAAAAAAAAAAAAAATTGCAATAAAAATTGGTGGGATGTAGACAATCTCATCATCGATGTTGCACCGGTGTTTATGGAGAGAGAAGGGAGGGAGGTATATATAAGAGACAATCTCATTCTCATCACATTTGGAGAATTTTGGAACAAATAGAAAGAGAAGATTAGCAATGTTACTCTAACTCTCTATTACACCTAGAGTACTTTGACACGGATTGAACACTTGACAAGTCAATAAGACTACAATTATGAAATTTTAATAATAAATAGCCAAGTTCTGCGATACATAGTCTGACATGAGTATGCAAAATCATACAAGATAGAAGATAAAGTAAACAAGGTATATGTATATTGTATGTATATGACATGAGTATGCAAAATCGTATAACATAGAAGATAAAGTAAACATGGTGTATATATATATATATACCTATAAAATCAATCAAGTGAGATCAAACACATCTTATCCCTTTATGAGTATTTATCTTGGGACTTCTAATATTTAGTTATATTGGGTTTTGTTATTGGTCATTCTTAGCTTCCTTAATGTGTCAACTTCCTCAGCAAGATGTAATTTCTAATTTGCATTGTACTACATATTAGTTTTGTCCCTATACTTGTGCCTTCTAGGGACAGGATCTCCATGTTTCCAAATTGTGGATCAAGACATGTCAAACAACTGAACGTACCCATATCTGACCCAAATCCACATCTAGGAGGCATTAGAAAAGATGAGACTCATGCATACATGCACAATGATGACGTAGACGCTAGCAGATTAGCAGATTATATTATAGTTCAATTTAGCAGTAGATGTGTAAGACTGAAAGATAGGTATCACTTGACCAGTAAGAATGTTTCTGAATTGAAGCAGGTGTAGGTGACAAAAGCTAAATATTTAAGCAAATGGCTGCTGATGCTGCCCATCAATCCACTATCTTATGAGAAGGAGAGGCCTGAGCCTACAGCTATGTGAATCTTTACCAAAGCTATTGAATACTGTTGATACAGGAAGGAAATGACATATAACTTCTCCATGGCAGAAGAAGTTTGTGGCAGAAACTGATGCTCCTAGGGAAAGATTCTTGATGATGAACAGAACTTAAACAGAGCAGATGCCTACATCTTCTAAATCAGATGATGGTTTAGAAAAGTCGAAAATGTTCTGATAAAATTTTATGAGGCCATGGTAGTTGGGTACACTACATGAATCCTCCCCCCCCCCCTCCTCCCCCTCTTCTTCCTGAAGCTATTGTTATCTTACAGCTATATGTTTGTCAATTCCAACACTTGACTTAAGGCCAGAAATGCCCATAAAACAGTGTAACATACTACTCTTTTATTCACTATTACCATATCAATTAAAACATTGGGGTTTGTTGTTTTTTTAAGATTGATAATTGGCTGTCTAGATAGTCAATTAAAAGGTGAATTTAAGCAATCAATGGATCAATTAAATTTTATGAGGGTTAAAACCACTATTCCGAGATACCTTACCAAACAAGCATATGCAACTAGAAAGGAAGAATATGTAGTTATCAAATTGCACATTGAATCAGCAAAAATTACAATTGAGCAGCTCATTTTAGATTCAGCTAAGATTTTCTAGAACAACAAAAATCATGGGTCTAGTGCTGAGGCAAGGAGCTAAATTAGTCTTATCTCTTAATACAACCTGATTTAGCTACTGCATACTGTTCCTTGGAAGTTAATAAATACAGTGGTCTAAACTCTTAAGATCAGTAAAGAAATTGATAACAGCATAGGTAATTACACTCAACTGCTGATATTTTTTTGTCAGATCAAAGCATAGCATGTCTCATTTTATTCCAACATAAAAAGTTTAAGATAGATACAGGAGTGAATTATAAAATTCCTTACACATCTTGCCTGTGAGATTTTAGCAAATGTCCCAACAAGCAGGAATAGATCTTATTTATATCTAACATTCTAACCACCACCAAAATTGTTTAAATCCCACCCAATTTTAGCTGAAGCAAAAAAGTCTCTGATGGAAAACTTTTCAGCACTGGATTACAAAGGGCTCAAAAATTGATTAAACTGTCATATACATCTTTTTCATATTAAGTAAACGCCTATGAAGTAAACGCCAGGAGTCCTTTGGGATGAAGGTTTCATCAGAAATTACTCCCATGCAACAGAGGAATAAGGCCAGAATTCCTCATGAAGTCAAAATTACAGAGACATCTAACTCCTAAATCCCAATCTTGACAAGAGCCTATTAGGGAAAATTGGACAAATTTTCGAAACGGTTCATATCTATGAGCTATATCTGCAGCAAATGAGACTAAAGTATGACTGATGACAAAGTACTATACAGTGTATACAAAGAAGTGCCTATGGCACAGGCAATAGAGTAAAGTGCCTTTATTGGCCTTGGCGAGGAGATGCAATTTTTTATACATTTAATTCAATGTCAGTAAACAGAGCAGACAAAAAGCAGCTGCAAGCTTAGGTTAATTGGATTTGCTCCGCTGTGATAATGCTATGTTAAAACCAGTCAAGGCCATATTATTAGAGCAAAAGGTAAACAAATGAAAGAATTTGGTATTCAAGATAGAGAAAATAAGTAGATCTACAATAATTCAATCATAACTAGAAGCTAACATAACTAATATATAGTAGCTAACATAGTAACAATGAATTATTCCTCCACCCTCCCGGGTTCTCTCCTTGTTGGTATGTAAATGTTGTTTTCCTGTTGTGATTTGTGAATAATGCTTTTCTTCTCTCCTTTATAATAACTCATGAGAACTCCTTAGACGTGGACAGGCAAATGACAAAAGAACAGACATAAGCACATAATAGAAAAGACGTTCTAACAGCAAGTCACCAATGTTGCATTACATAACAGACGACGCGGTGAGGATGTGGATTCCTGTAGCAAGCAAATCACTGGAAACAGTGGAAAGTGAGGAAGAAAGGGGAGAAACTCTTCATCAAGGCAAGATCCAGAGTGATGAAAGGGGGACAGAATCAAGACCCAACAGCATGGTCTGGCAGTGTAGCCAGGGTCCTGGCAATGGTGTTTTAAAAATTCATTTTGATGGGGCATAGAAGCGAAGCAACCAGAATGAGTGAATGACAAAGGATCCTGGACAGAACATTAACTACCCGTGCCAAGCTGAAGGTCTGGCAGCACATCATGCTTTATTGAACATTGACTCCATCTGCACTGAAGTCATTTTGCTCACCAACTCAACAAGATTATGGCACACATTTAAGAATGTACAGAGTCCAATTCAGAGTCCAGTGCATAAAGATGGGAAAAGGGACAAATTGCACCAATAATTTCCGAACACAGGCACATTTAACTAGCAATGCTACATGCCAATCCTTGTGAGGGCATTTTTCTACATAGTATCTATCCGTTCAAATGCAACACCAAATATGAAGAAGAGATTAAAATTGACAATGAAGATGAGTAACACCAACCTCTTTGCTCGGTCGTATTAGCTTTAGCAGGTAGGGTTTTGAGCTGTTGCAGGATCTCATCTCGAATCATCTGCTTCAAATGTGGTGGTAATTTCGTGATTCTTTTTTGTTCAGCCAATACTGCTGTAAAATTCTCAACCTTCATAACAATCAGAAAATTCAACATCAGTCGCAAATTCAACTGACAGAAGATACGTTCTCAGTAGATAACATTCTTAACCCTCACATTAAAACCTAATTAACACCAAAACTTCCCACAGAAACTTAAAACACAGTTTCAAAATCAGCAAAACAAAGTACCAACCAAATTCAAGTTCAAAAACCAATCCTCACCACTTTGACAAGCTCAATAGGCTCTGCTGCTTTCCTAATCCGAACCGACTCCTCCATTCTCCTCAATTGATCTGGGGTGTGCTTAACAACTGATCACAAAAACAACTTTTCAATCAATATCCACTACTTTAACACCGCATAATCAAATTAGCTCATAAAACCTTCATCAAATCATGCAACAACACTAAAAATTAATCAACTCGAAACCAGTTCCATTACAAGAAACCACTCCACCGTTGACCAAATTCATCAAACACCATATATTGAATAAACAAATACATACACAAATTGATAAATAACATTCTAATAACCAAAACAAGTATAATAATAATTATTATAATCATATAGAAAGATGAACTTACTATCTTGTGAAGAAGTATTAGCATTGGAGTAGTTATAAACAGAGCTGTAAAGGCAATGAAGAACATAAAGAGCAACAACAATATTAATTGAGCAAACAATTAAAGTAATCCTCTTATAAGAACAACCCCATTTCCCTCTTCCATGACTCCCCCAATCTATTCTCGCCATTTTTCCACCTTCTTCTTCAACACCCTTTCCTCCATACCACCATCTCTTTCTCTCTCTTCAATTTCCAGTGATTTGGGGTGCAAATTTTTACAGATTTTTGGCAAATTTGGATTCTGGGTATTTCAGATCGAAGTTTAAATTGATCAAATTTGGCAAAAAGTTGGAGAATCTGCAAAAAGATAGCACAGATGAGCTGAACAAGAACAGTAAAGTGGGTGTTGTTTGTTTGTAGTAGTTGTAATTTACTTAGTAATAAGCAGTAGATCAGTGCTAAATCCAGGGTATAAGGATTTAAGAGATTGGATTAATGTCGGAATTTGCGGGCTTCTGTAAAAATTAGAGTATCTATTAGGTGAATTCAGAGCACCATTTGAGGCCAAACACCTTGATTTTCTTGCTTGGCCCCACATTACTTGATAAATAATTTTGAAACTTTTTGAAAAAAATATGAATTTTGCTTTTTAGGGAAATTTTTTAAAATTAATATTTGGCAATTGGGTTGTGGCGAATGGTGATTGCCGACTGGTGAGCTATGGTGGATTGGTGGATGCCGAGAGTTGTTTATTTTTTTTTCACCCGATTTATTTTTGGGTTAATTTGGATTTAAGGTTCAATTTTGAGTTGTTTATTATTTGCTAGTCAAAAGTTTATTTATAGAGTGGGTCTATTTTAGTCTTTATAATATATTAAAAGGCATTTATAAAATTGTGTATGTGTCACGCGTACCCTTTCTTACACCCGTATTACGCCACATTATCATTCAACAATCTCTACCATCGAATAAAAACCACATGCATTGTCATCTTAGCTAGAATTAAATTACAATTTATGTTTCCACATTTATGTATAAATATATATAGTACAAGTATTATAATGTAATATAAAACAAAAAAAAAATCCAAAATGAGTTATTGTTATCATTGTTTTCAAATTTACCACGTAAAAAAATTATGAAGTACGACTTTTAAAGCGTCTAATATAAAAACGAAATTATTCAAAGTATCACCCGGGGCAAAGCCCGGGCCACACACTAGTTCAAGTTTATAAGTCGTATTTATAAAATTTTATAAAATAGGATACTTATGGTCTGTTAGAATATTTAATTTAACCCCAAAGTTGAATTGTTTTGAATATTTTTAAAGATAGTATTCCGCTGTGTGTCTTTGATAGTTGTCTTAGCCGTTTTTACGGTGGCGATAATGTCTTAGATTTTTCTATTTTGAGTTTTAAAAAGAGCAAAACAGGTATTTTAAAGAAAAGAAATTTCTAGGGTGTTACATAGCAGTAGTAACATAAGATGATAATATTAACAAAAATAACAAAGTAGTAGTAGCCGTAGTAGTAGTAGTTTAGGAAGCAATTTATTTGATAGCCTTAGGAGTTGCGGTAATCGGGGAAGATAAGGAGGGAGGTGGTGCTACTTTTGGTGATTGCCGGTGATAGGAGGTGGGTCAACAACTGGTGTTTGGACAGTAGGGAGTAGTGGTGGTCGTGGTGGTGTTCATGGACAAAGGAAGAGGAGTGGGAAAATGGGGAAAGGAAGGAAGGAAGGAAGAAGCTTGCAAATGAAATGAACAAAGTTGGCTTGGGGAAGCATATCGATGGCTTATTTATAGCCTCAATTGGGTATTGTTTTAGCTGTCTCAATTGATGCAAGAGCAAGTGGGGGGTTTTGTTCCATTTTTGCCGACGTGAAGGAGTTCAAAGAACAAGAAAACGAGCTTCTTATCGGCAGCCATAACTTTTGATCTATAGAATCAAACAACAATCACACCTTTAAAATTGATAGATGCTCTAGATGTTCCAAACATGTTGTCTGAATTTCAGTCAAATCAGACCAGGGCCTTGATCGGAATTGATTTTGGAGACTGCTCAAGTTTGGAACGTTTTTGACGATGTATGGTGTATAAGGGAGCTACGTGGAGCATTATTGTGGAAGTTTAGAGTTGACTTTAGCAGAGAGGAGATTTAATGTTTTTTTGCACTTTGTAGTATGACTCGTGAACAAAATATTTGGCTCGGGAACAAAATATTTGACTCGGGAACAAAGAGTTTAAGGTTAAAAATTCGATTTTTGGGTACTACAACTTCAACTTGACTAGTATAATCAAACTCATTATAAAACGTAATTATAAATTTATTATTTGTATATAATGACTAAAATAAATGATTTTGTATAATAATAACATAATATGTAACACCCCAAATCTCCCTCTACGTAAATACTATATTTATACGTATAGAAATACCGTAGAGATAGACTTGGGCGTATTACCGCCACGTGAAAACGTAAGGCTTAATTAATTACTCAAATTGCAGCGGAAAAATAACTAACTTTTATTAATAATATATGAATAACCATAATAACTGTTTTAAAATAAATCAATAAAAACTTGTCCATACATAAATAAAATTAATTCCTATCTATGTGATCCCAATCCCGACTCTAGTATGCGTACGAACAACTTCGCACCTGAAATCAAGACTGCTTACCAAAATGGTAAACAGGGCGAACCAAAACAAAAAGGAAAACAGATTAGCAAAAACGCTAAGTACGTATAAGTGCAAGGCATGTAAATACTTTTATTAGGCAAACATGCTTTCGAAATAACCATTTAAATTTAAACCTGTCACGAGTCATTTTCCAAAATTAAACTTTCCAAAAAATAATTAAACCTTCCAAGGGTAGTATCCATCAATAAAAGCTTTCCAAACCAATAGATTTCCAATTTATAAACTTATCAATTTGTGATATATTTCTAAACCAATTTTCCTCACCTAAGTGTGCACACACCCCCCAAGCAAGTTATACTATACTCGAGGAAAGACCAGATCATACAAAGTTCATGGTCTTACTTAACCAGTCCCGGGTAGATGGACAATTAAAATATCAAATACTCAGGCTCATAATGAGCTGCAAATTAATTGAATCAAGTGATTTATAAATCAAACAACTTTTATTAAATTGATCAACACTTTTAGAGATCAAATCTTCAAATCATAAAATTATATACTTTAACTTGTCATGAAAATTGTTAACTTAAATATTTATACACAACATTTATTCAAACAATCATTAAAACAAACATTGTACAAAACACGCATTGTATCAAGGACCTAGCCACCTATACGTACCTTGATCACGAGAAAAAAAAGGTACGACTACTAAACTTGACCACGATCGAGAGGCTCCTCCTACACAAATAAAATAACCTTAATTTATATAAGGTTAACAAAATAACACAAAACCAAAAACACCATTCTATTGTGCATGAACTACCTAAATATTAACCTTTATCAAAATAGTGTTATTAGTATAGTTGGGTGGTCGTTGGTGGCGGAAGAGGTAGTTGTTCGGTGGCAACAACTTGGTTATGGGTTGCAGAGTTTATTTAAGCTAGATAGAGTAAGAAGAAGGGGTGATGAGATAGAGAGTAGAGAAGAGGATTTCTGATTTTTGGTGTGGGGAATTTGTGAAGTGTTGAGGATTTATTTATAGTGTTTAAGGGGTAGTAAGATAGAGTTAAAGGAGGATTGAGATTAACATGGGAACATGATAAATGTAAGTTTGTTAAATGAATATGAGTGAAATTTAGTCTAGGTTAATTTATGTGGAAAAGAAACTAATGAAAGATATTAGAGAAAAAGTAAGATAGGTGTTAATTGGTTAGGGAGATAAGATAGGAAGTAATATAAATTAAGATACTTAGCTTAACAAAGGTTGTTGGAGATAAAAGAATCACCCAATTCTCACGGCCAACTTTTTTTTTTTTTTTTTTTTTTTTTTTTTTTTTTTTTTTTGAAATCATAGTTTAAGATAATGACTTGAAGTAAAGAAATATTAGATAATATCAAACTAAAATAGTTGTATGAACTAACCAAAATAATTAATTATTATTGATTTAATGTACTAAAATAAATAATTAAATACTTATTTTTGGCTCTTAATTCAAATAATTGAATAAATTATTAAAATATTTATTTTCAAAGTTTCGGGGTATTACATAATATTTGAAATATTTCGGAAAAATCCATAGTTAATAATTAGTAAACGGGTTTACAAATACGGGATATTACATAGGGTTACTAGGTTAATGTTAGGCATGATAGATTGATGATTAATAATTATGGGATCTTATTCATTATTTTTAGCTTAGTTTTTTGCACTACTTGTATATTGCTATGTATTTCATTTTCAATGAATTTAACACATGAAAAGTTATTCTTTCTTCTCTCTCAATTCTATAATAATTTCAGCATGGACATTTCATCTACTCCGTAATAAATTAGGGTTGCTTTGTCATTTTTTATATATTTTTTTAAAAAATGCTTGTAATACCCTAGAAATTTTCTTCCTTTGAAAACTCTGTTTTGCTCTTTAAAAAAACGAATAAGGAAATGACTACTCCTTACGTTTTTTTTTTTAAGTGCTCCATTTCTCAAAAATGGCTATTTTTACTATAGTGTTCCATTACCAAATTTACACACTTCTTTTTTTTGTCACCATCATTTTATAATAATATAATATTTCTCCTTCTAGTATTATACCTTATGGTCCTCCATTTATATTTCCTTTATTACTTTTCCACCGTTTTTATTCTTTTCATTCACACTTATATATTATTTTTGTTCTTTAGCCTAAAACCCCGCACACACCCCAATGAGCTTTTAAAAAAATAATCAAAAGGTGAACTTGTTTTTGGCAAACCGCTGAAAGGTTGTATTATTTTTTACAATTAAAATTATTTTTGTTGAGCTTAAATTGTTTATATTGATATAAAATTAACTTTACCGAGTAAACCTTTTTTTAAAAATGATTCTCAATTATCTTTTTTCTTTAAAATTATTTATTTTTGTTGTTTAAAACTTATTTTTATTGAATTGAACTTATTTCAACTAAAATAAAATCATTTTTATTTCAACTTATTGAATTGAATTTTTCTTTTTTTACTTAATATTTTGTAAAGTAAAAAAGAAAAATTCAATTTAGTAAAAATATTCTTAGTTTAATAAAAAATCATTTTTAATTAGTAAAAAAATAAGGCACTGAACAAATATACTTGGAGAATTAGTAAAAATAATTTCAGTTCGGCAAAAATAATTTTAATTCAATAAAAATAATTTTAATTCAATAAACTAATTACAGTACCACAAATATAAGGGAAAGAACAAAGCCTCAATCTATTCCAAATTTTCAATTTTTTCGTCTACTAAATTTACTTTTTTTTTTTTGACAAGAAGATCCATATAACAAAAAAAAAAACAACAATACAACAAAACACACTGAACAACAACAACTACATTAAGTAACAAAACCCGAAAGGACCAATGCGAGCACGCTTCACAGGAGCTAACTTGTTGAACTCCACATTAATAGACAAAGTTGGACATCGTTTTGAGCCGACACAATCCATCTTGCAACCTACTAACACCCTATCACAAAACATCTTACCTATCATCAGAGGACGAGAATAAGAAATAGTCCATTGTTGATTCAAGCGAGAAGAAACCTTGAATCTTAATGGCAAGAGTAAAGAACTTGGAACTCAGGTACCCAAAGACTACCCACGTACAAACCCTGGAACAGTTATCCTTTTTGGTAGACTAAAACATGATTTATAGCTACATCGACTGTTGACAATCGAGAAGCACTCAAGACCTTTGAGGGAATCGTTTGGTGCTTTGAGCCACAGAAAGGAGGAATCAAAGGAATAAAGGTATCTGCTTCTCTGGATTTCTCACCTAGGGGGACCTATGTTATGACAAATTTGACTTTTACTTATCACAAATTGTATCTGAAACTTCATCACTGATATAGACCTCTAATGATAAAAGCTAAACACATCACCATGCATAAGACGCCGTAAATTAGATGATGTAATATGAAAAGATGAACCAAAACAGCCACGAGATCGAAACCAATGCGGGTGCAAACCATTATCGATCTGGCCACTTGTATTGACCTCGAAGTAGAATCGATGTTCAAATTGTTATAAACTTTTTTTTTGTCAGATTAACCCCACTAACAAGGTTTTTCAACATCTCATATTATCCCCATTGGACAACACTTTGGGAATGACCTCCATATCACAAACCCCTTGCTTGTTTGAAGAAGTAACTTCCCCTAAAGTGTGATCTACAAAAGAGGCATAACCCAAAAACCTCTCAGCCTCCTGTAATCCTTTTAATACTTCCATATTCTATTAACTGCCTTAAAAAGGTCAGATTTGGCGGATAGAAGATACCTAACCCCTAAAAAGCTAAGACTCTCCTAAATAAGCCTTTGGTATGTCAGGAATCATACCTCAACAATACACAAACATACATAATTTACTTTAGTATTGAGTTCTTGTAATTTCAAGCACATGCAACCAAATTAAGATTTAAATCCAAGGCTAAAGATCGAAATATAGCAAAAGCTTTTAGGGTCTCAACCTCCTATAATGCTTTTAATACTTCCTTATTCTATTAACTGCCTTATATTTGTCTGATTTGGCGAATAGAAGATAATCTAACCCCTTAAAAGCCAAAACTCTCCTAAACAAGCCTTTGGGATGATAGGAATCATATTACTCAACACAAACATACATAATTAATTTTAGTATCAAATTCTTGTAATTTCAAGGCACACACAACCAAATTGAGATTAAAGCTAAGGCTAAAGACCGAAACATAGCAAAAGCTTCTAGGTACGTTGACAAACTAAAATATCGCTTTACTCGCTAAATCGTACTTGGAAAAAGCAAGTTTAAACTTGCGTTCCTAGAACAAGGATTTACCTTTCTCGTTGAAAACTTTAAAATAGACTAACATATCATCAGGAAAAGCCAAGAAATCAAGGATACAAATAACGCACTTGTCATTAAACTTAGAGGATTATTGTTTTCGGCAAAAGTACGACACAAATCTATCCACTTATCAACTGGAAAAAGTACACCTATAGGAGTAAAGATGGGCACAGGTCAGCACGGCGGCCCACTTGTTATATATATATATATATGTATGTATATGTATATATATACACACACACACACACACACACACACACACACACACACACACACACACACACATATATATATATATATATATAAATACACACATATATACACACACACACACACACACACACATATACACACACACACACACACACACACACACACATATATATATACACACACACATATATTTATACACACACACATATATATATATAATTAAAAAAATCGTGGTGGCCATAGCCCGGCCCGGCACGGCCCGCTAGGCACATGGGTCGTGCCGTAGGCTAGGGGTGTGCCAAAACTTGGCATGGTACGGCACGGCTCGCCGCCCAGCCAGCGCGACACGGCACGAGCCCCATCCCGGAACGGCACAGCACGGCAGGCATGTCACGATGCCCATCTTTATATAGGAGTATAGGATAAGTAAAAATAGTGTATTCCATTTTTTAATATGGGTTGGGATTAAATTGGAATAACTAATAAAAATACAAAAATACTCTTACTATCCTTTCTTCACCCTCTTTTTCTTTCTCTTTCGTTAAAGGCAATAATGTCTTTTACCCATTAAATTTAGTCCCCATCCCTTATACCACCCCTAGTTACTAATTTGGAGGGATAACTTCCTTTTTTATCCACATCCTATCTCCCTTCATAATCCCCATCCATCTAAACAAATACTTCGTAAAAGACTTGTTTAATCCCTCCTTTTTTAATCTTATTCCCCCTCTTTTATTTCTCTAAACAAACACCCCCCAAAATTACTTCTCACTCAATACCATCATCAAATCACCTCCCCAAAATTTCATTAAAGATCTTTTCAGATTATTTGACATTTCCTCAAACGAAGGTGGAAGAGAGAAAAATTGTGTTGTGAAGAAAGAGAGCAGAAACAATGATCGGAGTAGGGAAGATCAAGCAATACTCAAATGTTCTCGACAAACCCTTAAGCAAAGGAAAACAAGAGGTACTTCACTTTAATTTCTCCGATTTCTGTATGCGTATTTCTTAATTGTTGATTGATTGATCGATCCCATTTTCAGCATTTCAATTTTTAATTTTGAGGGTGTTTTTGTATTAATGGAGGTTTGATTTATTATTTGATAATTCGATTTGTTATTCGATTGCAGGTTAGCTTAAGTGCTTTCGCCTTCTTGTTTTCGGAGCTTGTACAGTATAATCAGACTCAGGTTGATAATATTGCCGAGCTCGAACGAAGGTGGTGTTGTTGTTATTAATTTCGCATCTACTTTGTATTAGTTGTTATTGTTTTTGTTCGTGTTTGATAGCTTCATTTTGTGATCACCTTGCTCAAGATATAAACTATGTTGCTCGGCCTTTTCATTTTGTTTAAACTACTTAAGTCGAGTATTCGAGACATGGGTATAAGCACATTTCACATAACACTTTAATTCAGACCAAAATTGTGGAAATTGACAGAATGCTAGTATGACAGTTGAACATGTGCCAGTATGTGGCACTGATAACCTGAGTGTGAGTAGTGTAGGAATTAAGGGTTTGCCTTATTTGCCTGACAAAAGCCGGTACTAATCTTTGTGTAGGCTAGAAGATGCAGGCTATTCTGTGGGAGCACGAGTTCTTGAACTTCTTTGCCATAGGGATAAGGTAAAACAGCAATTGTACTGTCAATTCAATGACTTTAACCTATATTTGATTACAAGATACCTTCCTGTTTCTGGATATAATGTGATTTTCATGGAAAAATGGTTCGGCGAGCTGTCTTGTCTGAATTAGTTGCAATTGAATATGTGAACCACTGTTGTTGGTGCATTTTGGATGACAATAATAAACCGTGGGGAGTTCCATGAATTTCTAACATACCTTTTGAATATTTGTATTTAGACTTGGAATTTTTTTGAAACTGCAAATAGATTTGAGTTACACATTAAAAGATGCAATTTAACAATTTGATACTTATGAATAACCTCTTACATACCTTGATATTTGTAAATTTTGTAGGGTAACAGAAGGGAGACACGCTTGCTTGGTATTCTATCTTTTGTACACAGCACTGTTTGGAAGGTGCTGTTTGGAAAGGTGTGTATGTCCCAAGTTCATTCACTTTATTGTACCATTTGATATTCTTGTGGGAAAAGAGGGGGGAGGTGAGGGGAACTACGATAGCAACAGTAATAACTTTTATTTTGGATGGTTCGAGAACATTAAGACTCATTAGGCTTTTTTTTTTCCAGTTATATGACATTGTTGCTCTTTTGAAATTAATAGGATTCATTTGCTACTTCCTCCATTTTTAAAAAAATTGCAACACTTTGACCAAAAAGCTCTCACTTTTTTAGTCAAAGTGTTGCAATCATTTTGAAATGAAGCAAGTACTAGTTGGTGAGGAATATATATTTGGTTTTGAAGGATTCTGGACCCTTATACTGGCCTCTGTTTTTTCAAAGATTTGACACTTTTCTTTTTCATCAACAGTATCCAATTGACTTAGTTTATGATCAAATAGTAACTGTTAAATGTTAATAAATGCAATTCCTACTACGTTGTTGTTGTGTGTGTGTGTTTTTTTTTTTTTTTTTTTTTTTTTGGGAGTTTAAACACCTTTAAATAGCTGAGGCAAGCAGCTAGAGTAATTGAGAAGCAAATCTCCACCTACCGCTTACACTGGCTCTGGTAGCCTTGCCATGCCAAGATATTCTGTATTTAGCATTTATATCAAGAACACTTACTTATGAAGGATAAAAAATAAGCCCAGTAGGTGTGGGCTTTCTAAAGAGCAGAATTCACCAACTGGCATCTCCCTGCGTGAGATGATGCCCATGATCCCCACAAACATAGTCGCACTGTAATTCTGTCAGCCAATGGCACTATCTGAGATGTAGCTTTGTACAAACATAGTCGCACTGAATTCTGTCAGCCAATGGCACTATCTGAGATGTAGCTTTGTACTAGAAACATTAACCCAAACTTCCTTAACCTTTTCTGCTTGTCTATATTATACTGTTGCTTGCATATTGAGGTCTCATGTACCAATCTTTTTGCAATCATTACACCATGCTGCCTTCCTTTTATAATGTACATATGGAACCCAAGTGCTCCCATGTTCAGTCTCAAATGAGACTTGAGAAAGACGTCTGGTCTACTCTGATTTCCACCTTGTATCAAGGTTCTCTATTTTTGTTCTGTAGCAGTGTCTGGTTTAATAGGATTCCAAATATAAGTCTTGATACTAGGCAAACAATAAAGCCCCCAATCCCTCACAGGAGCCTTGGAAACCAAATAAATCGGAATCTTGGGCACTTTCAATTAGGATAATTTCATGGCTTTACTGCAGGTTTTTGCTGTTTTGTACATAAAGCATGGATGCCATGAAGGATTTGCACATCCGACTCAATGCTAAAAGTATTAGAAAGAAGCACTGTTGTAGACTAGGAAATTCAATTAACAATTGTAAATTTGTAATTATAAACATGACAATGAAGATGGAAGCTTGAATGCTTGATTTAATTAACTCTGGCAATGGTTACAAAAAGAGTTTCAATAGCTTGAGGCTGTCACTCTCACGGTAGCTTTAGGCTACTAATCCCTCTCAAGAATTCTCTAAAAAAATTCTGCATTAAAACTTACCGTTCTATTACAATCTCTTTATATACTCGAGCTCCATTTACAGAAGGTTCCTGCAACGAACTAGCGTGGTGTTGATAAAAAAAATGGACGGAAGGTTGATTTGGATAAATAAAGCTCGGAGCTTTCGTACAATCATCAATGGCTTTAGGCCATCACTCTCCAAGACTCTCTAAACTTAATACTTTCTGCCTGCCTTCTCTATCCTAAACTACTACTATTTATACTACTACTACAAAGCATAAGATGGCAACAATGCCTTAATTACTTCTAGTACTACTCTTGTCTTCTTCCTATTTTTGCACACTACAAACAAATGGCCTAAGGAGGCCTGTCTTCCCTGCTGCTCCTCTGCCCTCTGTCTCTCTCTGCTTGATGTTGTTGTTTGTCTCTGTTGTTGTTGTTGGTCTGCCCCTGCTGCTTGCTGTAGGTGGGTGTCACGGGTGGTGGTGGGAGTGGGTTCATTGCAGTTCCCTAATTTTTAATTGCTTTTGTCTTCTACTGCTTCTCCTAACCAACAGCATCTCAGACCAAGGTCGCCACTCCCTTAGTGGTTTCTTAATTGATTTTGTTACGGTGTGCTGAAGTGTCACCTGCTGCTCAATTCTTGTCCCCTTCTTTTGCTCTTTTCTTCCTTGCATACACCTTCAAGGGTGGCTCATGGGAGGTGGACACTGGGTCTATAACACCAATCTATTTTTGTCATTTATAATGAAGTCTCCGCTCCCTCCTCCCTCCCCTATCGTTGTGCTGTAAGAGTGTGTTTGGATTGAAGGGAATGGAGGGATAGGAACGGAAGGGAAATGGAGGGATGGAGTACCTTTCATTTGGATAACAAATGAAGGATGAAGGGAATTGGAGGGGGATAGAAATGGTGGGATTAAATTGTAAGAAATTAATCTCTCCAACAATGGAGAGATTTGGAGGAAAAATAGTTATTATTCCCTCCCCTCCTTTTTCCTTCTCTCTTTTTCCCCTCCCTCCCCTTCATTTCCTCCCCTTTTCATTACCCAAACAAACTGTAAAGGTTTTTATACATGATGATATATTGGGATTTTGGTTAGCTGAGTGATACTTATTGCTGTATAACCTCTTGGTTAGTGATGTCGTACTTTCTTGGTTATATCCTTTGCTGACTTTCTGCATTCCACTTTATCAATGGCAGGTTGCTGATTCACTCGAAAAGGGCACTGAACATGAAGATGAATATATGATCAGTGAGAAAGAGCTCCTTGTGAACAGGTAAGATTAATTTTCTTGTGCTGGATTTCATTTTCTCTAGCTTTCCTGCCAAGCCTAGATCTATCATTTGCGCTGTGACATCTCAGGTTTATATCAATACCTAAAGATATGGGAACTTTCAACTGTGGTGCATTTGTTGCTGGAATAGTGAGGGTATCTAGTCTAACTTTGTCTACCACTCTATTTGATGACTTTTTTTAACAATTTGAATGTTCTACTGACAAGTGGTACCCAATGCAGGGTGTCTTGGATAGTGCAGGTTTTCCAGCTGTTGTAACTGCTCATTTTGTTCCAGTGGAGGGGCAGTTGCGGCCAAGGACGACCATATTGATTAAGTTTGCTGAAGAGGTACCTGCTATGCTAGATTTTACCACAATCTTTTATTCATTTAGTTTGAATATTACATTTTTCATTAATTTCGCTTGATCATTTTGGAAGATTTCTGTAGGACCGAGCAATAAATATTAATATCAAGGCAAAACTTAAAGATGCATTATAAGTTTATTAAGCTACCAACGCTATAATTCTTAGGCTGCTTTGCGTATTAAGACTTTTAACTCTTGTTGCTGATGCATTGGTCTTCCCATCTGGTATATCTTCACACATCTCTTGCTTAGCTGGCAAGGTTCCTCAACTAGACATGATAAAAACTTGCTTAAAAATGCAGAGTGACAATTATACTTCTAATTTAAAACCACATGCTTAATTTTGTGGAGAGTTTTCATAAATGTTCAGGGTTGATGAAATCTGAGTGCTTGCTGCTTTCTATCTGATGTTCTCTATCCATATTTTAGTTCCTCTGAAACTTTGGTCCTGTAGCAATTGCTGTTACTGCATAGATGTATCATATGTGAACTGAAACTCTTTATGTGGTTTACTTATATGAAACTTGTACTGAAGGGCTAGTAAAACCTGATTGAACAACATATTCAATATCATTGAGAAAAAGATATAAATAGAGCAAGATAGAGGATAAACTCACACGGTCTATGCTTATAAATGTGCTTGAGCTCAGAATATCAACTAGAACTAGCTAACAAATCAACTTGAAAAGTATATGTTGGATATGTTTCAAATATGAAGGCGTATACACATTCAATACTATGTTTCATAGCACATGCCTTAGTATCCATGTCCAATATAGGGATCATGTCCATAAATTTTAATAATGTGTCTTACCCTTGGATATGTACTTGTATCTAGAGATGTCAGTGGGGCGGATCAAGTAGGAGACCTGCCCCATCCCCGCCCCATCAAGTACCCGGCCCCAATGGGGCGGGGATGGGTCTTGGTTTGGCGGGTGGTGGGGCGGGGATAGGGATAAAAACCATACCCTCCATGGGTGATGGGGCGGGGGTGGATTTTAAGTTGTACCCGCCCCATCCCCGCCCCGCCCCACCCCACCCCACTTCGTACCCGCCCCATCCCCACCTTATACCCACATCTATATATCTTTTAAAGCAAAATTACATATTTTTATTCTATTTATAAAATAATTACATGAAATACAATATTAATTATAATACTTTGTATGTGTATAGAATGTTTTATTTTATAATTCGTATTAATTATGTAAGATTGTGTATTTGATATACGGATATTAGGTGGATCTTGGGTGGGGATTAGGCGGGTCTTTGGTGGGGATTAGGTGAGGATGGATATCCAAGTGGGGGGTGGGGCGGGGATGGTTTTGGAGTCGTACCCGGTGGGGCGGGGATGGGGATGAAAATTGGACCCGCCGCGGGGATGGGGATGGGGATGGGGATGAAAATATTAGGTGGGGATGGGAAAGCCAACATCCGCCCCGCCCCGCCCCATTGACATCCCTACTTGTATCTGACACTCGTATCTGTGTCTGAGTCTTGAGGTGTAAATGTTAAAATCTTTCGCCACCTCTTTCTTTAGCGGGCTTTCTCTCAGAAGTGACGCTGTTCATAGCAATTATCTTGAGGTTTATTTATCTTTTTTTTTTTTTTTTTTTTTTTGACACAAAGCAAAGAGCAAGATTTATTAATCAACTAAAGCATCAGATATTACAAAGTTCATAGCAGCATTAGGAATATCTTCGATCCAAACACGCAAACTATCAAAACTTTTACTAAGATGAGCTAAATAATGTGCCACCTTGTTGCCATTTCTTCCCACATGAGAGTACTTAACAGCAGTACACTCTTTAGCAAGCTCAAATATGTCGATGATAAGCCCAAAGCTGGAAGACTCTCTTATATTGCTCCTTAGATGGCTGAACACCTTCATGTTGTCTGTTTCAAGCACCACATTAGTGAGACCAACCTCAAGAGCAATTTGTAAAGTCTGTTTTGCTGCCAAAGCTTCTGCGACCTCAACATTATCCCCTCCCTTCACACACAGAGTATAAAATACTGTTAAGAGGGAATATAAAATACTGTTACTTTTACTCTGTGACATCAATGAAGTTGCATATTGTAGATGCCCATTTTTTAAACAGCGTACCTGAATTGAGTTACTCTACCAATACATTTTTCATATTAAATTTAGTGTTGGTGAATTGCCTCATCAATTGTTTTACAGGCTTTAGATAGGGTGACATGAGCTAATGATTTACTTCCCTCTCTCAGAATAGTATCATTATGTATAATTTGATTTAGCAATGGGAAACTAAATCCAGATGGATGTATTAGATAGTGGTGTGGTCTTTAGGACCCTGACAGCCATCCTTACCATCACTAGTAGCCCCTGGCTTATCTATACTTGGCATCATGTATTATTAGAATTTTGCAATAGTTAATTTTTTCACACTCCATTCTTATTGCAATGTTGATATCTGCATGAGTCACTTGCATTCCATAATCCATATGTGTGGTATTTATCAAACTTTGGATCTGCAGTTAGTGTTGTTTATTTATTCTTATTTTTTTTTCTTTATTTCTTTATTCTTTATTTTTTTTCTTTATTTCTGATGGGTTAATTGATACATAGTATAACTTAGACACTTTAATATTTTACTCCTATCTTGTCTTAATACTTCGGTTAACTTGTTAGCCTCTAAAACAATATGATATAATTGAAATGTGAGTTTTCTCTCTCTTTATCCTACTTCAACCTTTGCTTTACTTTCTTCAAGGACTTATTTTCAATATGTTTGGTTTTAGTTATCTAACAAGATAGATGAATAGTTTTTCTTTCTGCATGCAAATCTTGATAAATTAACCTTCCGATTAAGGTGCAAAGTGCTGAAGTTTGACTACAAGGTCCTAATTAATCTGTTTACTTATCTCAATGCAGGTGCTTAGAAGGGAAGCTAGATTAGGTTGATCTCTGTTGACATTACAGGTTGAGGGGCAGTTGAAATATCCTGTCCAGTTGATCCATCTTCTCTGAAAGTCGCAAGCTTAGTTGGCTTCGTAGTGTTTCAAGGAGGTTTAAATTCTTTCCATTGCAGTCCTGATGTTTAAACAGAAGCATATTTTGTTATTTTTTTTAACTACATCAAGTGCAATTTGTTTTTCATGGAAGACCTCATATAGTCATATGTAGGCAGTTTATGGATTGTCACTTGTCAGAGTAGCTGCTATTTTGAGAAGCTATTTAAGGTACGATACATTTGGCAAAACTTGTCTGTAATTTACAACGTAGCAGAAATTTGATTATTATGTCAAACAGAATATATTATTATATTTTGACAACAGGGCTATATGGAGGGAGGCTTTGTTGCTCGTCTTTATTTTGCAGTACGTATTGTTTTAGACCATTTTCAAATGGAAATTGGTTCATCTGGTTCAAGTTTGTGTTATATTTGGTAAAATCAGATATATTGCCGATTAGTTATATTTGGATGGGGTCAATTTATCTTGCTAGGGTCATTCAAGCCAGGTTATTTAGGGCTAAGTAAATTAACTCATTGAAACACAAGAATACGTGAATTCAAGAAAACAACTTGCATTCATTTCACTGGCAAATACGGGTATCAGGTAAACTGCCTTATAATTCGAGAGGCAAGTAGTTAAGTTTATTCACTAATTTGCTCTATCATTTTCTGTAAGACTTACAGAGAGATAACAAACCAATAACAAATGTATAGCTATCAACACAAGCAACTAATTTTTAAAGTGTACACATCAACACAATAACCCCTTCCAAAGATTAATTGTTGCCATGAATAGGATCGAGGTGTGCATGGTCCGACTTATGAGGGAAGTATCACACACTATAAGCTCGCTCCCTTATGGTAAGTGTTAACCGATTTGCCTCTATGTAATTCTATTAAGAACACTACTATCTCTTCATTTTTCTTTTTTAAAAACTAGTTTTTGGTCCGGGCAATGTCCCGGGTTATTATATATATAGAGAGAGGCTCATGTGAGAACATCATTCTGAGGAAGTACATTTGAAGGGTTGTGAGACAAAATAAAATATCTCACAACATAAAATAATATAGCAAATGTACTAAGAAGAGGGAGAAAGGAAGAGAGAGAGAGGTAGAGTGAAAACAGGGTGAGGTAGGGCCCACCTTTGGAGTAAAAAATGGTTTCACGTGCAAAAACGATAAAAAAAATTGGGACCACAACTACTAAGAGTATATTTTATACCACTGAGAATTTTTATAAGTACCACTAGGAGTGTATTTTGTACCACTGAGATGTACTCCGTAATGGTATTACTCCCTCCGTTTTTAAATACTTGTTCCACTTTCCATTTGCGGCCGTTTTTAAATACTTGCTCCATTTCCTTATTTAGAAAGTTTTATAATATTTAATCAATTTATCTCACCCAGTGGTCCCAACATATATTCTCTCTCCTTCAATTCTCTCCTCTACTTTTGTTTTCTATAATTTTTTATTCTTCTACCAACCTTACTACCTCCATATATTATTATTTTCTCCTATTTCTCCTAAAACTCCGCACATGGAGAAATGGAGCAAGTATTTAAAAACGGAGGGAGTATTTGACAGCCTAATTAGACATTTGAACCTTTTTTTAAATACCACTAAAATTATATTTTGTACCACCGAGAGTGTATTTTGTACCACTGAATCTAAAATGGCAAAATTTAAATTCCGCATGAAATGACCAATCTACCCCTGCGAGACACTTCTAAATCTCTCTCAACCCTCCGTTTATATAACCTCCACCTTTCTTATGTGAGAAAACTTTATATGTGAGAACAAATCTATTTTCTAATATTTTAAGGTAGATGTTTTGAAAATAAATTAAACCCATCATCTTCAACCTCAACATTCTCTCTCCTCTCCTCACCAACACTATCCAATCTCTAGTTCATCTGTCACCACCAACGTCTGTTCCATAGCTTTTATGCAGTCACCTCCACCACCATCACTCTTTCTCTTCTCCCCAACATCCTGGCCAACACACTCTCTCCTCCCCACAACGACCACCATCACCACATGCTTAAGAATTTCATGTGTTTTGTATCAACATTTGAACAATTGTAGACAAGAATTTAAGTTGTGAAGCTTAAACAAAGGTAAACTAAGCTTAATTGATAGTTTAATATGTGAAATCAAAATTTTTCATCCAAATCAATCAAATTGGGCAAATTATTAAGTTTGAAATTTCAAGGAATTTTAATTAATATAAGAAACTAAACAATAATTCATATGTTTTTGTTACCTTGGAAATCAAGAGTGACTGATTTCGAATCAATTCATTGTAAAAATCGAATTTCAATTCGTGTTCTATATTAACGAATTATGTTCTAAAAAATTTAAGTATGTTCCAAAAAATGTTACATATGTTCTAAAATATGTTGCATGTGTTCTAAAAAATATTGCATATGTGTTCAGATTTGTTTTTGAGTTCAAAGCATTAAAATTTGAGTATCATGTTCCAATTAAAACTATATTTTGAAAAGCTAAGTTTATTCTTCTAAGAACTATTACATATGTTAAGAATCATTGAGTCTAGGTTCTAAATTTCTAGGCATTTTGTTCTAAACGCTATGCTTTAGAGGAATCAATGAAAGGACATCAATTCAAATCCTGAATTTTCGAATTGAGAGAGATATTGAGAGAGATTAAGAATTCTCACTATTTCTTAGATTCATGGACCCAATTTAATTCAGTGGGATCTTTCATTCACATTTTTTTAAGTTAAGTATGATGTTCTATATTTTTACTCACATGTTCTAATTCTTAAATCAGATGTTCTAAATTATTACTCACATAGATGTTCTAAATTATTACTCATATGTTCTAAATTTTAATTTGAGACACATGCTCTAAATTTTTACTCGTATGTTCTAAATTTTTACTCACATGTTCTAAATTTAAAATCAGTTCTCATATAAGTATGAATTCTCACATATGGCTCTATTTTCACCGGATCCCTCACCTATATATATATATATATATATATATAAAATTATGTGATAAAATACAAATATAGATTAAATTAATCACATTTGTTGTAAATAAAAGAGTAGTCTAGTACAAAGAGTATAAAAATATTTTAATAAGATAAAAAAATAATCTCACAAACAAATAAACAATGGAATAAAACTGAGCATCTATGGGATCGAAATTAATGGGTGATCGTCATGCTTAGGGTAAGTTTATACTAGCTCCAAACTCTGCCACATCAGATTTCCACTAACTTTTAATAATTTTTTTTGTCCAAGACACACATAATTCCAAAACTCATTCTAGATTTACTTATCCAATTAATATTAATAATAGGGCTGTCAAACGGGTTGTGTCGTGTCGGATTTGTGTTCATGTCGACGTTAAACGGGTTGAAAAATCCTTGACCCAAACCTAACCCGTTTATTAAATAGGTTAAAAACCCTTGACCCAAACCTAACTCGTTTATTAAACGGGTTACCCGAGTAACTTTTTACCCACATATTGTAATAAACTAATTAATATTTAATTCAAAAATAAAAAAGTCTGACATCATTAATTCATTAAAAAAACTACAACGGTTTAAAGCTAGTGTTTTAGAAAAAGATACCACAAATATGTAAAGCTTTTCGCCAAATTAACCGCCAAATAATTACCAAAATGTATAAATGAAGTCAAGGTAATTCACAGAATTACAAGTTTTGAAAAAAAAATTCAATTTTTTTACTACTTAATTTATCGATTAAGCGTGTCGGGTTCGGATTGACGAGTTGTCATTCAACCCATTTATATAATCGGGTTATGCGTGTCAGTTTAATTTCGAATTGAAAATTTCAACCCAAATCTAACCCGTTTAATTTTGTGTCATGTTCATGTTGACCTAATTATGTAAACGGGTCGAGAATTCTTGACCCAAACTCGCTTATTTCGTGTTGGGTTACGTGTTGTGTCAGTTTTTGACAACCTTAATTAATAACATTAATTTATTTATATATTTATTTCATATTAAAATTATTTTTAAAATGGTGAGTAAGTCAGTATTGGACAAAATAATTATGTTTGTCCTTTTAGTATCAAGATTCAAGACTATGTAGTCTTGGTGGAGATTATTGCTAGAGTCTTGCTCAAGACAAGTCTAAAAACTCATCTTAACACTAGGGATAAACTTACCCTTATGTTTTGCACTTTAGTTTACGTAATTCAACACTACCATGTACTGCCCACAATTTTTCTTAGATTTACGTGCAAATTTAAATGTTGCAAGTATTTAGGAACAAAAGAAGTATAATTAGAATTATTGTCATCAACATTACATAACGATAGACGTATTAATTTGGGTCATTGGTCAGATTTAATTGAGTAAAGTCATGTTAAATTATTAATTATGCACATGCAAATTAATTCTTAATTGGATCACTCTAGATAAGCTCGAGTTGTTTCAAGTCAAGTCAATTTTGATTTGATTCATCAAAAATCCCATACAACTAGGGGTGTCAAGTGGGTTTTCGGTTCAGTTTTGGGTTCGATTTATCGGTTTTTGGTTTGTAACGGGTCGGTTTTTAACGGGTTGGAATGAATCGGTTTTAAATAATTCCGGGTTGGTTCGGTTTGGTTTATTTTTATTACAGTTTCTTTTCTGGTCGGATTCTAATCGGGTCGGGTTATAATTGGTTTTGGTCATAATCGATTCGGGTAAATTCGGTCGGTTTAAAAACGGGATTTGTCAGTTTAAAGCGGGTTTTGGGACAACACATATCGAGTCCTAATCGAGTCGGGTTGTAATTGGTTTAGGTCATAATAGGTTCGAGTTGAACTCAGTCGGTTTGAAAACTGGTTTTGCCCGTTTTAAACGGGTTTCGTTAACGTATATCTTCTAGTATATCCTCAATACTCTTTAATTAGTTATTTTAGTAGATCATACGGAGTATTAATTAGTTATTTAGCTTTATGTCCCTTTTTTGTATAATGATTTTCAAGATCAAATAATAATAACAAATCTAGATTAGCTTTTGATTTAGATTTTTAATTTTTTTTAATACAATATAGTGTTCCATAAGCCATTACTCGTTAGAGGACGATAATATTTTAGCATAAGAGTTTCAATGACATCAAAATTCCAAACCTTTTCAATATAAATACTTTGTATTTCAAATTAAACCCTTTTGTTTTGCTATTAATAAAATATACCAAAAAAAAAAAGAAAAAAAAAATCTATGGTCATAACGGGTTACGGACTTATAGATTATAAACGGTTCGTTCATAACTTATTACGGGTTATGAACTGTTCGATCCTAACCAGTTACAGGTTGTAAACGATTTGGGTTTATCGGGTTTTTGTTGAGTTTAAACAATTTCGGTTTACAATGGGTCGGGTTGCTTTCGGGTTCGAAATTACTTGGTTCGGGTTGTTCTCGGTTTCGGGTTGTATCAGTTCGGCTTGACAACGGCTACAGTTCATTAACGATTCTCAAACATTCGGATCGGTTCAGTTTCAGGTTTTAAATAATCGGGTTAGGTAGGTTTACGGTTTTAAAATAACAGGTTCTTAGCGGTTCGGTTCCTTTTCGGGACAGTTTGAAACGGTTCGGATTCACAATTTCGGGCTGGTTTTTGACAGGTATACATACAACTTAATATACTACGTATGTAACTTTCTGTTTTTATTTATTTATTTTTACATTGTCAGTTGTGAATAACAAGTGTAGTATTGTTAATCAAATGAGATTTTTGTTACAAAAAGATAAATTGAGTTTATTTTCATTACAGCAGTGATTGATTACCTACCAAACAAGATAGTAAGGTCACAAATTAATTCATTGTTTTGAGACGGATTGAGCAATGATACAACCACTACTACAAAACATCAAGCACAACTTGCTAATAATAGTCAAGCATTAATGTAAAGCATAACGTTGTACAAGGTTTATCCCTTATCTTTCTTTACAATAAATATTGGGGGATGATTAGTGAGAATGAGGTGGCAGACAAGGATTGGTTCATTCTTATCCCCAATTTCTATGAATTTGTAAAATTGATAAAAAGTCGGTTGTTGGAAGTGACTTGACACCCAATTGTGTATTTTTTTTTTTTCCATGAGTGTTGTCTCAGTTCCATAATTATAAGCTTTAAACAAATTATTTATTTATTTATCTTTAAAAAAAAAGAAAGGAAAAAAATATCACATACTATAAACTACTCCCATTAATTTTTTAACGTTAAGATACGGAGAGTCTCCAAGCGGGGGATGAGCAGCGAACTCTCATTCGAGGGGAGATTGAAGAACTTACCATCTTTTCATTCCTTGATCCTCAACTAATCCCATCAATTAGTAATTCAAAGGCTTTTATTTTAATTGTTAATTTTTAATAGTATATTAGTATCTTCTTACTCTTTATTCGTTATTATTCGTTTGTAAGAATAATCATTATTCGGAGTAATTTTAATTATTTATGTGGGTATAATTCGCCCATAAGGACAGCCTCAATTCATTCTATTAGTAACATTAAAAACTATAATTAAAAAAAAAGAGAGAGAAAAAGTAACCTTATTTGTTAATTCGAGTAACATTCCTTCTTTTATTTTGATTACCAAAATAATAACTCCCTGTTAAAAAGAGTAACCCTATTTTTAGTAAGCAATAACTTTTTATTCGTCAAGGTAAATTCATTTGATCATCGATGTATTCACATAAGTCCGTAACCCTCACTACTTATTAAATTGCTTAAATAAGAAGTGGTTGCACAATGTGACTAATCATATATAAATATTTGTGTAACCCAATTTAATCATCTCCTTGTGTTGTATATACTACGCATTACTCTTATATTATAACAAACTACGGAGTAAATATTAATTATATGAAGTAATTATGAAAAAATAAATTATCTATGACTTTTGTGAGTTGTGACTCTATATATACTCCACTGTGAGTCGGTGATACTCAAAACTCCTAATCAAATATCAAATTATGTTACCCCGTTATTAAAATTTGTTAACATAATTGCATTTTAGGAGTCTTTATGACTTTACAGACAAAAAAAATGAAGTAAATTGTTATTAGGATTTAGGGCATGTTTTTTGCTTTACTAAACTGAGCTGAACTAAATTCAACCAATTGGAACTGAGCTGAACTAAACTAAAATGAATTGAGCAGAATTGTTTATGAGAGAAAGAAATTAGGAACTGAACAAAATTGAAATGAATTAATTAGATCTGAATTGAAGTGAAATTAAGAGCCCTTATGAGTAATATATTACTATTAGGAGTAATAAATTACTACTAGAGCATAACTTGGCGGCAAAGTGAAGAGTTGAAGAAGACCACTTCCTAGTGACCACCGCCCCTTTTCGAACATTCTCGCATTCCTGCCGACCCACCGGCCACGCACTTACCGCAACCCGCCCACCCAAACACCCCCGACTCAACTCACTGCTTCTTCGACCATTCTGCTTCCTGCTTTTGTAAGTTATAAATTTTCCAAATTTACCATTTTTTCTGGGAATTTGGATAATAATATATTGGCTTTTAAATGGGTATTTCCTTTTTATTTTAAAAAATATTTTCTGGGGAAAAATGGTTATGGTTGTATTTTGTTGTGGATTTGTTAAAAGAAAAAAAAAATTCTATGTTTTAGTACAGAATTAATTAATTGGTTGTTGTAATTGTGTTGAGTTTCTCCATTTCGTTTCATCTATAACCAATTTATAAAAGATTTTAGGTGAATATACTATGGAAAATGGAAAAATATACAATTAATACAAGCAATTGAAGATTTAATGATAAAATTCAACTGAATGTTTAGCTGAACTGTTTTTAGTCAATTAAGCATGTTATAATCTGTTTATTCTTATTTTGATTTGCAGGATTGCAAAGATAACCCAAACCCGAATGTGGGTAATTTAATCATTTGTGTAATGGAAGCATAATTAAGGGTATTTGTTATATTGTAGACATGTGTTCTAATGAAGGAAGTGTTGGGTGGAGTGTATTTGATACTGTGAAGTTTCTGCCTTCGATGCCGGATGCTCTTATGGCAGAGATAAATGCAGCTATAGCTGCACTAGAATATACTCAGGTTACTGCACGCCTCGGTTCTTCGTTGATGAGGGCTAATGGCTCGGTTCGAGGTTCAGTTTCTGTGTATGATGCAGACATTGCTGAGGAAGCTTACCAGTTGGGGTGTGCAGCATTGTCTGAGGGTAAGGTTGATGCAGGGCTTGAATCTTTGCATATTTCTCTGTCAAAATGTCCTCCTGATCAAATTGATGCTGTTGCCAAAATTCGGTCGCTTATCTCTTTTACAGCACAAAAGCTTCAGAAGTCTTCCAAGTGAATTTTTCAGTTTTTCACAACATGCTAACTACTGATATGTGTTTCTTGGCTGCTTGTTTTAGTGAGTATTTTAGTTAGATAATTGCTTTTGTACTATCAATTTGTAGTCAAATTTGACAATTAGTAATTCTTCACATTATTGATGTGAATTTCCATTATTTTTCACATGATCTATAGATTTTAAATGCTGCTAATCTGCAACAATCTGTTTCTTGTATATATTAGAGAGGCCGTTACCTTTGTTGTGAAGCAATAACATGAAAAAGAAAGAAGAATTTGTAGCATTTAGGTTGTTATTCTTGAAACTATTATTTAACATGTTCCCAAGTTATATAGTGTGTATTTTCCGTGCTACTATTGCCAAATAAGTTAGATTCTGCATCTGTGTTTTCACGCAATTTATGGTTTCTGAAAGCCACTGTTTCTTGTTTATAGAGAGGCTGCGACTCTAGCTGAGCTGCAATATCTGACCTGAAGTTGATTGAGGAATGTATAGCATTTTGCTTGATAATCTGGGAATTACTTCATCAGCATGTTTATAACTTCTACCATTACTTCATTAGTGGTATTTTCTTTGCTAATATTGTGGCCAAATAAGTTTCACTCTGCGATTGTGTTTTCACATGATTTATAGTTTCTGAAACCACAGCATCTTGTATATATTAGAGAGGCTGCAACTCTAGTTGACCTGCAGTAAATTACTTGAAAATGGACTAGGAATGTGTACTGTGTAGCATCTTACTTGATAATGTGGCAATTATTTCATCAACTTGTTTGCAACTTTTTATCCTTAGTTTGAGTATTTTCTGTGCTGCAATTGCCAAAATATGGAGGAAAAAATAAAAAATGTACTCGTAGAATTTTTGCTTGATATACTGACAACTGCTCTGTCTGCTTGCTTGCATAATTGTGTATTGTGAATTCTTTTTGCTTGGAATCAGGACGTTTATCTGTGAGGAAGATTTTGGGAGTTTGGAATTGACATAAACTATATAGTTATTTGAATTAACAACTTAATTGTTTACCAGTGCCTAGTTAGATGATTTCCTAGGTTTGGTCAAAAATTACAAATGAAAGTGTGGGAGTGATCTCAATAAATCGCATTTGATTTTATTGTCTTGTTAGCTGTCAAAAACGTATCCAGCTGCAAAAAATTCATCTTCTCTTTGGATTTCTTTTCGCTCACTGACAGAAACAGGTCACGACTAACTATTATAGATATAATGAGGTCAAGCATGTAATAAAAGCATAGATAGCTTTACAGAATCATATTGGAATATATTTTCTGCACCCAAAGAAGGTTGTTCGTATGAAATATTTCATCATTCCTCTTCCTGAAACATCATATGCAGCTTCAGTTAAAGTATCTTGAACAGAGTGGATAATATAGTGCAAAATATGAAAAATTTCATGATTCATGACTTATTTCTGAAATATTTTAGGATTTCTTTCCATTGCTTCAGCCAAAGCAACTCAAACCTAGTGGTTTCTTATTTGTGTATATTTTTGTGTCTTTAAATATGAGTAATTAGGTTATTAGAGGTGACTGACATTTTCATGGAGCCAGTTTGAATCAAGCTGCTGTTACTTTGTAGACAGTGCATGGAGTCTGCTGGTAATTCTGCAATCAAGGTCCAGAAGTCTGATCAGTCTCAGATTTGTGGATATTTGGGGAAAAGCTGTACTTGTTCAGCAAATGTTCACATACATGCTCAACCTATGTTACACGAATCCGGCTATTGGTGTCAGACACCATTACACGTCCAAGTGTCAGTCGTGATTATATACTTGGTTGAAAACAAAGTGTCAAGTGTACGCACCTCTATCAGAGAGTTGAAGATCTGAGATGTATAACATGTATTGTTCAACATAATGGTTTAAAAAGATTCAATCTACTCTTTGATATAACTTCTGTCAATTTTCACATTATTTGGTTGTTGTAGTGGTTAGTCATTGTCAAAACAAAATTTATCTGGGTTGTTGTAATGGTAATGTCTTACTGATTATCTTTAATTCTAAATCATTTACATAAATGGTGTACCTGTACCACTCAGGAAAAACCCAACAAAATACAAATAGACTGTTAGGTACCTTGTCTTATTGTAACATTTAACTTTACCTTGAAGTTTAGAGATGAAAACTGCAAATATATACAGATCAACTTTAAGTAACTGTTCCAAGAAATATACGTATTAGGCTTTATGCAATTTTCAGCTGTTAAAAGATACATTAAGGGTATGAAAAAGGTTAAGGTGAACTATTTAGATATAAATCAGTCATTTTCGTTAATACTTTGTCTTTACACCAAAGGATTGGACATTTCAAGATTCTGAATAAGACTAGCAGTTACATTTCAACATTCAGAAGATGGTTTATATTAAACAGAGTCATGAACCTGAGCTGAGCAGGTAGTATTTCCTTCAACTTGACAGCATCATCCTCAGAAAACAAGCCAGAAAGAAATGGCGATACTATGTCTGGAACACCTATCGAATTCTGCTAAGAGGTGCAGATTGTTCTCTTCAATCTTGAAGGATCCGTTTTCCAGTTGCTGTAATTGCAACCAAAGCAGTCTATCTTGCTCCGTTCCTGAAGAAGAAGAAGAGAATCCTATCACAGATTTCAACGATGTGCAGGAAGTACATAGCAGCTGAACTATTTGCTATATTTTCATTCTAATTTCTAAGCACTGGCTTATATGTCGTTACTGGTTTTCTTGTTTTTAATTGTATCTTTTTTTGGGTAATTTATGTGCAGGTAGTAGTCTCAATGATCCGTAGCCGTGCAATGGAGGCCAGGTTTAAAAGAAAAGGAAGCATGCTGAACGATAACTACTCATTTGTTCTTCATCCAAAATCTGGAGTGCTCTTTGTCAGCAAAGCAAAACAACAGGCACATGATGATCATTCTGCACAGCAGGAAAACAGTAAAGTTAATGAAGAAATGGATGATTTTGCATCTGTCAACAGCCACTTCTCCCCGTGCATTGCTACTGCTGTTGATGATAGTGAAGTTTATTTCTCGGTGAAAACTGATTTCTCATGCTGCTCAACCTTGAAAGACCCGGATTTAGCTGAAAATAGGTGGTGGGTTTCAGAAACTTTGGATAGTTCTGAAGTTAAGAGGCGTGCAATCATCCAGGAAGTCTGTCATTGTGAGGGCTGGCCATTTGGTCTCTGTCGAAGGGCATTGTTACTTCCACCTTTGCCAAAATCCCCCTCAGAATCTTGGTTATGGTGTAAGAGCTTTCCAAAAATCATGAAGACAATTTGATAACCTCCTGATTAATAAATATTAGCTGACAAACACTGCTGAAATGCCTGTGGGACTGCAATTTTGTATTTGCAGTTAACCTAAATGTAGTTAAGACACTTGAGGAATGTCCTTGTAATAATATCAGTACTGCAGAAACTTGACCCCTGTGAGGCACCAGTGTGGCAGAGCAAGAGGCTACTGGTATTAGCGAGTAAGAATTCTCATCACTAAGAATGTTAAAGTGTTGTAATAGCACCCATATTCATTTTGATTTTCATAGTTCATAAAAATTTGTACCACCAAAAAAAAACAAAACAAAAAAACATAGTGATAAGTGAAAATCAGAAACAAATACACTGGTTTTTACGTATAAAACCATGGGGTGTTTTCCAGAATCCAGATAGACAATGTTTCAGATCATACCATGATGATATCATTGATATGCAGCTCCAACTTAGGTTCTTTACTAAGGATGCATACAATCCAATCCCCGGAAAATTTAAGTATTTCACAACTGCTGTCCTCTTTTCTCAACATATGAGCCAGAAATTCCAGAAGTTTTTCAAGAATTGTGACTGTGACTTACTTAGGCCCAGTTAACTTCTCCTTAAAAAAATATATTCAGTAAAAATAGTTTCAGTTCACTAAAATAATTTCAATTCAGTAAAAATCAATAAGCTTAAAAGAAAATTATACTAGTATATTGTTGAAGTAGTATAATCTAATTTAAATTTAAGTAAAATAATATATATATATATAAAAAAAAAAAAAAAAAACTATAGCAGGCCACTTCACTTGATAGTGGTCCTTGGTACACATTACGCCTCCATAACAGAGGTAGTAAAATTACTTTACGTGCAATCTACCCTAAAACTTGGGAATAAACCATAGAGGTCTAAAAGTAGTACGAATCTTATCGTTGTTTTCGCTAAATCGTTTGAATTCTCTAGATTTCATATCAAACATACCAATGTCTTGCCAGCGTGGTTTTAGATCTTCCCAAAAAAACTTAATGTCATCGGTAAAGTAAATAGCATCATGTTGATAATTAGGGGACTTTGATTTATGAACACTCATAGCAGAGTTATTACCAACAAATACCATATAATCACCCAAATCTTCAACAACAGTCCAACACTTGTCGTTGCCGCTACGATCAAGTTTATACACCTTAAAATTGCACGTATAAAGGTGTTTCAGATAAGCTTCATCCCTAACTCTGTATCGTTGTACTAATAATAAATCACCGGCTAACTCGACCATATAGCATTCTTGACTAAAACCCAACCCTACCTTGCTTAAAAGTAGGGAAAACAATGGAATGATAAGGCTTGGCATAAACAGGTGAAGAAGGGCTAAAGTCAACGATTGCACTAGTTTCACAACATGTAATCAATCCATTAACATGCAAAATCAACACTATTCCATTCCAATACACCACATCAATAACATAAGGGAATTTTTCACCGCTTGTTATAACCTTTGTCCATCTCCATGTTCTATTTACAGGGCGAGATAACGCTAATGAATTATTTTTAGACGTGTACGGGCTAGACTCTAAGTTGTGATGATAGATTAACATTACAACAAAGTCGTTGTCATCGATTTTTAATACAATCGCCTTGAGTATTCTAAATTCAATGGGTTCCCAAATATCCAGTTTTCCTCTCTCCATGATTTCATACCTCATAGAAGAATTCCGTAACACTGGCAAAGATGCAAGGCATGGTAGGGTTAGTTGAGCTTTAGTGATGGGATTAAATAACGAAACTTGGTTGTCGTCGAAACCTATCATCACAATCCATCCATACTCAGAACCAAAGCATTGCCTCCTATTTGCTTGTGGGATATTCAATTCTAAACCCTTTACTTTGTTGATTTCAAAGATTTTACTACGACGCGAGCAAACGTCGAGTTTGTGATCGTGCTTGGGGCTGGGATCGGCTTGCAGTAGCCAAGGTGTGGCTGAATCTCGCTTAAACACGGTGAACACATCATTCCATGAACGACATACCGCGGAGAAATAAATTAACTCATTAATGGAATCAAATTTTAGTGCAATTGCAATGAGAAGATCAGAGGGCAATGTAGACCAATCAGCCATAATCATACTGCTGGAGTAGTTCTCTTAACACGCCTTAGCCCTTAGATTAATTTGCCGATTTGAATATTGTAAGTAATCAATGTTAGCTACTCCCTAGTATTTATAAAAGCCTTATGTTTGGAATTTAAATTAGGAAGAGAGTGTAACCCTAATGATAGACTTTGTATATTTGGTAAATATTTAGTTTACGAACTAGGATTGGAAAATTATCCTTAGAGTATTAACTTGCGTAGTAATTGGCAAATTATCCTTAAACATAATACAATTTTTATATAAATAAACAACAAGAAAAGTTTTATAAAGGTAACTATTTATGTACCCGTGCGATGCCCGGGTTTATTGAATTTTAAGATAAATTTTTAATCTATATGTCAAATTTTAAAACATATCATTGATACAAAATTAGTTAAGAATTGATGTGTTTTTGTGATGATTTAAACTATATAATAGGCATGTAATGACTAATAATAACATTGGTGAAAAACATTTCTTGACCCGTAACCTGAAATAATGACCCTGTCCGAAATGAATCTAGATTGTAAAGTATATTGTTTTAATTGATTAGAATATATTATAAATAATGGATTTGGTGCATTTTGAGCTAATTACAATTGAATTCTATATAACTCTATTCTACGTGGCGCTACACTTAGCAAAAAGTTGGAACGCCAAGTGTCGCTATCTCGTCGCCTTGCGAAAGGTTTAGCTTTATATATTAGTTATATATATGATTTAATTACATTTAACCACTAATTAATTATATTTTAATCATTTAAAATGTGATTCTTTATTATATAATTTTATTTGTATTGGGTTACTTCTATGGATATTGGGGGTAACTTTTATTTATTTCAGAGATAACTTTGATCACTTTATGTTATCTTTATAATGGATGTACAATAATTATTGTACACCTGATTTTTTCAAAAGGTTGTGTTTTAAGAATTTACAGGACAATTTGTGAGCTTTGTGAGTTATATGGGATATAAATCTTATACGAAGTAATTACTATCTAAAAATATATTTGTGTGATATTTTTTTGTGGTTTTTATATTAAGATATAATAAAATTTTATTATATTTACATCTCTAACTAGATTAGGGTTCATGCCATGCACGGTAATTTCACTTTATTTAATTAGAAAAGTAATAATATCTTTTAATAAATATATCATAGACAAAAGAACTACTCCGAATAATATATTTATTGACACGACTCAACCCGACTAAGAAAAAATTCTAATAAATTGCGAAAATTATGATAAATTTATTGAATGATGCCAATATTTGTTCATATAACACGACAACATGACATAAACCGTACACCCATATTTATTTTGATTTTCATAGTTTTTTAAAAAAAAGCATAGTGATAACTGATAAGTGAAAATCAAAAACAAATACACTGGTTTTTACATTTAAAACCATGGGGTGTTTTCTAGAATCCAGATAGACAATGTTTTAGATCATAATCCATGATGATATCATTGATATGCAGCTTCAACTTAAGTTCTTTACTAAGGATGCATACAATCCAATCCCTGGAAAGTTAAAGTATTTCACAACTGCTGTCCTCTTTGCTCAACATATGAGCCAGAAATAAGTTTTTCAAGAACTGTGACTGTGACCTACTTAGGCCCTGTTCTTTTGAGCTTCTGGGCAGAGCAGAGCAAAGCAGAGCAGGGTCAGCAGAGCAGAGCAAATTAAATTTCAGCCGAGCAGAGCCGAGCCGAGTATAACAGATTTCAACATTATTATTAATACTATTATTAATGTTGTTGTTGTTGTTATTATTATTATTGTTATTGTTATTGTTCTGTTACTGTTACTATTACTGTTATTATTATTACTTGTTATTATTACTTGTTATTATTATTACTTGTTATTATTACTTGTTATTATTATTATTATTATTACTGTTATTATTACTGTTATTATTATTACTGTTATTATTACTTGTTATTATTACTATTATTATTATTACTATTATTATTACTTGTTGTTGTTGTTGTTGTTATTATTATTATTATTATTATTACTATTATTAATGTTATTATTATTAATGTTGTTGTCATTATTATTATTATTATTATTATTATTATTATTATTATTATTATTATTATTATTTGAAGGTTCAATGGGCACTCAAGAGGGGGGGGGTGAATTGAGTGTTAAGTAATCGTTAGCGATTTTTGCTTCTTTTCGGATTATGTGTAAGGAACCAGTTGTGCTGGTTCCCTTATGCAGCGGAATAAAACAAAGCAATAAAGAACACCACAGATTTAACGAGGTTCAGCCAACTCTGGCCTACGTCCTCCTATCCTAAGTCCTTTATTAATCTACTCCGAAAAATAAAGACAAAGAACACTCTACTGTTTCCCTACTCCGGGAACCAGTAAACCCCACACTCTACTCCGAATGTGCTCTAAACTTACCCTCGTAAGTTCCTAGTGTGTTTGAACTCACAAACACTCACCAAGTCTTCAACCCCTCTGTCAAAGACTTAATACAAGATCAAGAACTCTCTAATGATCTAACTCTCAAAAGTCAAATAGAGAAAAACGTTAAAACACTATTATGCTCTTGTGTATCACTTAATAATTGAATTAGTGCTTTTAGCTCTCAAAAATAAAACTCTATTAAAATGCGTGAGAGCCGTATCTGATTATTCAGAATAAGATGTATTTTATAGGTTAGTTAGCTAAACCCTAGTTACCTTAAATCATGCATATAAGATATATACGATTTATGGTAAGTATTTATCTTAATTGATTTGATCACAAGATAAAATCAATTTAAGATAAAATACTTCCTAGTTTTTAGCTAACCAAAAATATCATCTTTATTCTTAGCTGCTTGGATATATTTTAAATCAATATTTTTCGAAAAATATCTTTTTATAAAATCTTTGTAAAAACGGCAGCTTGAATAATCTGTTCAGTTAACCTGGTTCCCTGGCCTGGTTCCCTGAACTGAATATGTTATGAAATTTGTTCCAAACCTTGTACCAAATTTCATAACGATATTTAATATACTAAAAGCACTTTATATACTCAATTATATAAGTTATACTACGGAGCATTTACATGAAGTTCCTAAATAACTCTTTGAGTGTAGTCTTCCTTCATGCATTCGTTAAGTCTTGAAAGCTTCCATGAATGAACTCAATTATTGACCAAAGGACCTTCCTTTAAGTTGATCGAAAATTCTTTCAAGCTTCCAGTCTTAGAAATCAACTTAGATACTGCACATTCAACAAAGTTAATGTACAATACTAAATAAGTAACTGCCTTTCATAAAAGCAGTTTGAGAAAACAGTTTATACTGGTTTCCTACCAGTGCATAGCTCATTCATCATCTAACTGTTCCCTGTATAAAGATAAGTTAGTTCAACAAATATCTCATATAAGTAATAACTTATCTAGGGAAACAGTGTTCTATTTTAGCTGGTTCCCCCAACTGTATTGAACACTTTCAAAGACCTGTTTCCCTTAGCTGTTTGTCATCATTCAAAACTATCAATCAAAACCTAAGGGACTCAACAAATTCCCCCTTTTTGATGATGACAAACATTTGAAGTTTCTGCACCTGTGAACATACTCAAAAGAAAGTAGTCAAAAACTTCAAGGACTCAAGACTCAATGGAACAAGTCAGTTAAGCCAACTGGTTCCCTAAACAGAAACAGAAAATAAAATAAAGTCAAAGTAAAAGTAAAAAGACTCAAAAACGACTCAATCTAAACTAGTAAAGACTATAGGCTTCAACTTCAACTATTTTCCCCCTTTTGGCATCATTAAAAAGATATGCAAAAGTAGCCTCTTATGCATAAAGTAACGTGCTAAACCATCCAATGGCATCAACCATTATACAAATAAAGTGCTACAAAAGAAGGTCAGATTAGTCAAAGTAAAGCCATGCCAACAATAAAGATCATAGTTTAATACAAACCATCAAAAGTAAACGATAGAGCCCAAATCCATATCAAAACAAATTCATGGATTGGGAGGAATAAAAACAGTCCAACAGAATCAGTTATTCAGAATATAATATAATAAAGGTAGGCTAAATGAAAAAGAAAACAGATTCAATCATCATCATCATTTTCATCATCTTCTTCCTCTTCTTCAGTGTCAGCCTCCTCAACTGCTTCATCCTGATTCTCCTCCTCTTCATTGTCATCTTCCTGCTGGTCTGTTTGCTGGTCCTCCTCAACTTGTTCCTTCTCAATTCCAGAACTACCAGCAACCTGTTTCTCTAACTTGCTCATCCTCATAATAAACGAAGTAGATAAACTTTCCACTAAGGTCACTAACTTGCTAAGCTGATCCCCTACAACACTCATCTTCTCTTCCTGACTCTCCAGCCTCTTAAGAATAACCTTCTGACCTGCTGGTTCCTCTGCCTTCTGTTTCTTCTTGGCAGGCTTAGGAGTCTCTACTGGTTCCTCCTCCCTAAACTTCAACACCCCAGCACTTATGATCAACCCCTTTTGTTTCAGAATACCTTTGGTAAACACTATTACAGGAGTAGTTGATCCACTAAGAGAAACATTATTCTCTTTAAGAAGCTTAGTTATGTAAGAACCATAAGGAAGAGAATGGTGGGAGGAATTATAGCAATTCATCATATGGTTTATCATTAGGGAAGGGAGATTTATCTTAATCTTATTCATCAGCAAATATATAAGCACCATTTCCATGATGCGCACAAAACCCCTACCTTGTGCTCGAGGAATAATCATCTTGTTACACAGAGAATGAAGAACCAGCATCACTGGTTCCTTCAAGCTACCAGTTTTAAAAGTTCCAGCTTTCTTTGGAACTTTCCCTCCAAACACAAAGTCATGCACTTCATCTGGACTGACCCCAATAAGTGTGGGCCATCCATCTCCAGAATACTCATCAAAACCATCTCTGGGTATATTCAACAACCCAGCCAAACTTGCAACAGACACATTTACTTCAACATCATTCACAGCTGATCCTAACGACCTATCCACC